AGTTATTATGTAACCAATACTCCAATATTTATGGTCGGCATTAACGCTCGTTCAAGGTAATTGAGATTGTTGTTGTTATGGTAATGGGCGCGGTGACGGGAATTTTGGTGATGGGTGTAGTGAGGTGGCGACTTTATATTGAAGGCAGGTAGGGGGAATCGACTTGAGAATGGTCCAGGACGGACCGAAACATCGTCGTCCCTTCACCTTCTAGTGTGTGGTCTGGTCAACAGGAAGGGGAAAGTTGGGAATAGGAGGCGGCTTTGAAGGGAACTTGGTAATGGGGGGCGTTCTCGTCACTTATCAACTTAGGCAGCTTTCTTGATAAACGTACAGACGTATATGCATGCTTCAAGAACTATTCACACACAAGACACTCAATAATGCTGATGGCATGTCAAACAAAGTGGATGAACTGAAAGAAAGGATTGGTGAAATAAACCCTGATGGCGATAACAGAAACTATCGATAATATCAACTAAAAGAACTGAAATGAACGCTTATGTAATATTCTCAGACAATCTTGAGGTTATCTTAAGATGATTTCGGGGCTTTTTTAGTGTCCCCGCGGCCCGGTCCTCGACCAGGCCTCCACCCCCAGGAAGCAGCCCGTGACAGCTGACTAACTCCCAGGTACCTATTTACTGCTAGGTAACAGGGGCATTCAGGGTGAAAGAAACTTTGCCCATTTGTTTCTGCCTCGTGCGAGAATCGAACCCGCGCCACAGAATTACGAGTCCTGCGCGCTATCCACCAGGCTACGAGGCCACCCAATACCAAATAGCAAGGAACAAAAGCAGAGGGGAGGAGAGGCAGCGACACTGCTGGTCAACAGAGACAACATATTTTAAGATATCAATTTTGAGGAGGATTCCAATGATGTTAACTATGCCACATGAATCATTTCATTGGTAGGAAAAAAACTGGCTGTGTCTAATTTATAAACCCACAGACTCACAGAAGACCCCGATAAGAATACGAGAATGCAAAGAGAGCTTGCATAAATATCATGTAATATGTTGTTGAAGTATTCCTTATATTGAGAGGAAAGCTGCTAGTATTAGTAGAGGAGAGGGATGGTGGAGATCAGACAGGAGATGGGATGGCAGGCTGTATAAACTTAACATTAAAAGTGTTCTTCTGTATTGTGCTACACATGAAACATATAGAACAAGGGGAAACAGACTGCTGGATCAGTGAGGAAGTGGGGGTGAGAGGGGAGGAGGGGGAGAGGTAAGGTAAGTGGAGGAAGGGCAAGTGGGGAAGGGGGTAGAACTCCACTTGACAAACAGAAGGTTGAAAGCTTCCATCTCAGAACGCAGTGCTGGTTATGACGTTTGGGGTCGACTGGGAGAGACTCGTATAAGCTGCTTTGTGCTTATGACAGCTCTAGTGAGAGCATGGCTGAGAAGTGGACCTCAGTGTGCTGCAGGGCATGATTATGCTGCATCAGTGGCTACTAGAGTTCAACCCTAACTAAGGCAAGGTGACGAGGAATAGAACAGTTGCTAGGAGGGTGGTGATATCAGCAAATGGAGGGACTCAAGTGAGTCCCTCCACTTGCTTTTCCTCACCCCTTCCCTAGTCCTTTCCCTTTCCCCTAGTCCTCTCCCTTTCCCCTAGTCTACCCCTCTTTACCCTTCCATCCCCTCTCTCTTCCTTCCCCTTTCAACCACTGCTAACTTTCTCGGGATAATTAACTAATCAAATCGTCGAATTTTGTCGACTAATTTGCGGCAATTAGGGCCAAGAGGGTGATTACGTAATGAGCTCATGTCCAGTACAACTCATTCCTTTGTGGGTGACTTTTTATTTCTCCCCTGCTTCTTGTCTCTCTCTTGCTGCCTCGCGTCTGGTCTGTCTTCTTGTCTTGAGTCAATCACTTAGTTGAGTAGGTGTCTAAGGTTAAATACATGTTTTTTGTGTTTGTGTATTTGTGTCTACGGATACCTGTGTGTGTGTGTGTGTTTGTTTGTGTGTGTGTGTGTGTGTGTGTGTGTGTGTGTGTGTGTGTGTGTGTGTGTGTGTGTGTGTGTGTGTGTGTGTGTGTGTGTGATTGTCATGTGTTGGTGTTTATGTGTTTGCAAATTCTGTTCCTTGCTTCTGTCTGTCTGTCTGTCTGTCTGTCTGTCTGTCATCTCCCCGTGTGGCTGCGTAGACAGGGTCATCGACATAGTCTGGGCCAAAGGGGCGCGTCATTAATATTCCCACAGGGAACTACATGAGAATGTATGACTTGCCGGAAACGTTCTAAGAATTTGTGTCTGGAATAGGAACGGGTGTTAGGGCCGGCGGACCTAGCCATGACAACCGCTATAGACATCCGCCAGGATAACCACTTACTGGAGCGGTTATCATGGCGACTGTTTTGCTATATTAATTGAGGTCAGGTAAACTGTCGTATTAGTAACTGAAACTCTTGATGTAGCGTTATCATAACTTTTTTTTAGTAAGTTCTACGAAGAAATTCACACAGCCATTAGATCCAAACGAGGCAGTT